GGGAATGGGTTTGGTTGAAAATTGGGCGAAAATTGGGCGAAAATCGGTGAAAAAATGAAAAAAAAAGGGAAAAAAACCACCAAAAATGGGAAAAATGAGCTGAGCCCAGAGTACATGGATGAGACTTAAAGGTGCCTGAAAGGTCAGGAAATTAATTACAGTTAATTAGAAGACTAATTAAAATAATAGAAATTAATTAGGTTGAAAATTGGGCGAAAATCGGTGAAAAAATGGGAAAAAAATGGGGAAAAAATGGGAAAAAAAGGGAAAAATGAGCTGAGCCCCGAGTGCCTGGACGGGACTAAAGGGTGTTTGAAAGGTCAGGGGTTAATTAGGGTTAATTAGGAAATTAATTAGGAAAAATCGGGAATGGATTTGGTTGGAAATTGGGCGAAAATCGGCGAAAAAATGGGAAAAAAATGGGAATTTTTGGGTGGAAAAAATGGGAATTTTGAGGTGAAAAAAATGGGAATTTTTGGGTTAAAAGTGAAAATTTTTAGGTGGAAAAAGGAGAAAATTTTGGGATGGAAAATGGGAATTTTTGGCAGGAAAATGGGAATTTTTTGGGGAAAAAAATGAGAAATTTTGGGGTGGAGAATGGGAATTTTTAGGGGGGAAAAATGAGAATTTTATGGAAGAAAAATGGGAATTTTATGGGTGGAAAATGGGAATTTTTGGGGTGGAAAATGGGAATTTTTAGGGGGGAAAATGAGAATTTTGTGGGGAAAAATGGGAATTTTTTGGGTGGAAAATGGGAATTTTATGGGTGAAAAATGGGAATTTTTAGGGGGAAAAATGGGAATTTTTTGGGCAGAAAAATTGGAATTTTTGGAGTTGGAAAATGGGAATTTTATGGGTGAAAAATGGGAATTTTTAGGTGGAAAAGTGGAAATTTTGGGTGGAAAATGGGAAGTTTTGGGAGGAAAAATGGGAATTTTTAGATGGAAAATGGGAAATTTTTGGGGTGGAAAATGGGAATTTTTTTTGGATGAAAAATAGGAATTTTTAGGGGGAAAATTGTGAATTTTTAGGGGGAAAAATGAGAATTTTTGGGGTTGAAAAATGAGAATTTTTGGAGGAAAAATGGGAATTTTTAGGTGGAAAAATGGGAATTTTATGGGTGAAAAATGGGAATTTTATGGCTGAAAAATGGGAATTTTTGGATGGAAAAATGGGAATTTTTAGGGTGAAAAATGAGAATTTTTAGGGGGAAAAAATGGGAATTTTGGGGGGGAAAAATGGGAAATTTGGGGGTTGAAAAATGGGAATTTTGAGGTGAAAAAAAAGAGAATTTTGTGGGGAAAAATGGGAATTTTTTTGGATGAAAAATGGGAATTTTTAGATGGAAAATGGGAATTTTTAGGTGGAAAAATGGGAATTTTTGGGGTTGAAAAATGGGAATTTTTGGGAGGAAAAATGGGAATTTTTAGATGGAAAAATGGGAATTTTTGGGTGAAAAAAAAGTGAATTTTTGGGTTAAAAGTGAGAATATTTGGGTTAAAAATGGGAATTTTGAGGTGGAAAAAGGAGAAAATTTTGGGATGGAAAATGGGAATTTTTGGGTGGAAAATGGGAATTTTTTTGGATGAAAAATGGGAATTTTTAGGGGGAAAAATGGGAATTTTGAGGTGAAAAAAATGAGAATTTTGTGGGGAAAAATGGGAATTTTTTGGGTGGAAAATGGGAATTTTTAGATGGGAAAATGGGAATTTTTAGGTGGAAAAATGGGAATTTTTGGGGTTGAAAAATGGGAATTTTTGGGAGGAAAAATGGGAATTTTTAGATGGAAAATGGGAAATTTTTGGGGTGGAAAAAGGGATTTTTTTTGGATGAAAAATAGGAATTTTTAGGGGGAAAAATGGGAATTTTTAGGGTGAAAAATGAGAATTTTTGGGGTTGAAAAATGTGAATTTTTGGGTGGAAAAATGGGAATTTTTGGGAGGAAAAAAGGGAATTTTTAGGGGTTAAAAACGAGAATTTCAATTTGAAAAATCCTCATTTTCCAATGGGAAAAAACCCAAATTTTGCTGCGAAACGCCTGAAACTCGGTGAATTAATTTTTAATAATCGAAATTTTCATTTTAATTAATTTAATTTTAATTTAATTTTAATTTTTTTTAATTTTTAGCTGACGGGGTTTCCATCCCCCAATCCTACACTTCTTTCCTGGCTCCCGTTTCCTCTTCCAAACTTTACAACGAAGTCCGGGGGTGTCGGGAGCACGACAGGCACCCCGAGGTTTGGGGGAAAAAAAGGAGATTTTGGG